AAAGAAGAGAGAGAGAGAGAGAGAGAGAGAGAGAGAGAGAAAGAAGAGAAAAAAGGAAAAAACAAAAAGAGAAAAGTGTTCAACGGTCGAAGGATGTGTCCGATAATGTGTCCGATGTGAGAGACGTGTGTCTCAAAGTGACACTAGATTTCGCGGACAACGCTTATGCATTTCTTTCTTATTAATACTGCAGTAGCGCGTGTACTGTCATCGTCGACGTAACGTCGTTTCAACGTTGCACGGACCGAACATTGCCGTGATTACGCGGATAATATGTATTATGTAATTTTTCCTTTATTCAAAGTCCCCGAGTATTATGTAAATTTCCGCGGAACATTGTTTCGTATAAATGCAGTATTTATTTACTCAGACGCGCGTGAATCCTCCGAGATTTATTCTTGTCCTTCCACCGTCTTAAAATTTGTTTAACTTGTAAATGCTATGCTAACCACCGTATGGATTTCCTCCTATGAATTTCCATGCTGAAGGCGTTTGATGGTATTTCTAGGACTCGAAGGATATTTGCAGTGTATCCCCTCGAGGAGTGTTTCAGCGAAACGGTTATCGTCTCGCTAAACAATCATTAAATGCACGATGTGCATTACGTTTCCGCGCACGACGCCCGCGGTCTTTCACGGTGGTAGATCTTTTTCTCATCATCTTTTCTCATCCTTGTGTATAGTCGTCTCCAGTGTATAGGACAAAAAATATCGGGTGCTCTCTCGTACGTCTTTCACAATACCATGGACAATAAGTCTGATTTGCGCTGCATCGCCATTCCCCTGTCCTAAGTTAATATTGACGAAGGATGTTGCGAACGTGATCGTGTAAGTTACTTAATTGCCGGCCTCTCTCGGCACTGTTTCTTTCTCTCAATGGCACCAATGATCACTGATTACCATCGACGAAGGAGCGAATTGATAGATCGCCGCGACCCGACCGTTGAAAATCTCCTCTCCTGTCGTATCTTCACGCGCATCGGCAAAATGTGTCGAGGTCAGGAAAAGTTATCTATCGGTTTGTACATCGTGAATTAAGATCTCGAAGACGTCAGTTTTCTGTGAAATATCACTATTGTCTTGAAACCTGAGTGAGCGAAATCCGCTTGTAATAGCAAGAAGTAACGAAGAGAAAATAGTAAAAATACGATATAATTGTGCAGAATAAATATTTTCAATTATCAGATTTTTATTCTTAATGTAATTTTTGTAAATTTTATATAATTTCCTTTTATGTTATTAACTATGCACTTATTATTTGCTCATAAAACTTGATTTTTATATTAAATTTAAATATAATATGATGTTACTAAATTGATTATTAATTTAATATTACTAAGCATCTTCTAAATCTAAGAAATTTATTGCCAAAAATTTCATTCCAGTTAGAATAAGATTTTATTTGACGATTACAAATATCTACTTATTTCGTATCATACACAAATCAATCGAAATCTATCTATAATAATATAATTTTCTACCGTATGTAATAAAAAAATTTATTCATGTTTAGATTTTTCAATTTAAAAATATCGCATTGATATGCATGACAAATTATTGATCGTCAACATTACCGCTAGTTGCACAATAACGTGCAAGTTGAGAATTGAAATCGTGATTATTGATTAATTGCAGCACGATAAAAAAATGTTGCTCGAAAACGCATATTCAATGATTGTACGATAAATTCTCAAGACACCGGATGACATTATTATCATCACATTGTTATCATACGTCATGACATTCTGACTATTTTCCGGTTGTTTATGCGCGAAGAGCTTTTAGTATATTTTCCTCATAGCAGGCACCATTTCTTCACGTGTCTCGCGATATCGTATATTAATTTTAGAATAATTTTCTACTAAAGAAGTAGACGCGAGTTACATAACACTAGTAAACCACGAGCTATGATAAATGTTTCTTTTTTTCCAAGTAGCCTCGTGCGCGCAAAGGAGGGCAATGTAATGCACGTGTCATTTGCAAAAATCAAGGTGTTCTATTTGCGGAAAAGATTTTCTACTAATCTCCAAATAGCCTTTAGACTTTTGCCAAACCGAACGATTTTACCTCGAGCGATGAAACACGCGAGATAAAAATAAATAAGTGCCGAAAAAATTACTTGTCCTTGTAAACAAACATTTTATTTTATAAAAATATAAAAATAATTTGTTGCTAAATAATTGTGATAAAAAAAAAATCGTTTGAAAATCGTTAAAAAAATTAACAATTTATTCATTATTTAGAATATTTATCTGAAGTTATTACGTCGGAAACGTCTTATTTATTTTAAGAAATATTTAATTAAAAGCTGCATCTCTAATGCGCGCTCTTATTGAACGTCGCGAACGTGACACTAAGAATAAGTGCAGTTTCTCGCGTGATTACGGCTTCAACCAGGTATTTGCAATCACTCTGGGGAATCGGAACATGCCTAAACCATGCCGCGAGAGGGTATTCCGCGCGCGTAATCGCCATCAGCGCTGGAATCCAACGGCGACGTCGCTCGGCAGCAAAATAGCGCCTGTTTGCCACCTGAGAGTATGTTGCACCACATGGCGACATCGTCTACTATCGGGCGCATACGTATATACATACGTGATACATGAGAGTATTTGCGCTCACGCGACGGCATACGCGCTCGTGACCCAAACATGTACACGTGTGTGTCGGCTCGTAAGGATGATTACGTACGACGACCGCGCGCCTCTCGCTCGCCGCTCGGTGCTTCACCGATTAGAAACGATCGTCCTCCGTCTCTCGCGCAAGCATGCAACAAAGCCACCTTGGCGGTTTTGGCGGGAATACAAGACAAGGGTCAAAACGCCAAGCGAGTACGCTCAACGCGCTCGGCCTTTGATCGATCGACGTAGTCTGTTGTTTTTTAGCTCTTCAGCGCTTTTAGCTCTTCTATTATTTTTTTCTTCTTTATCTCTTCTTTCCCCCTCTTTCTTTTCTCCTGCCTTTAAACGTCGCGAGTGTAAAGAGGAAAATTCTTGCATCTGTGTGCGCGTAAAGCGCGAGATCTGAGCCGTCACTGGTGGTCGGATTAATTTAATTCGTTTTTATTTAATTTGCTGATTAGGCGTCAGGTGGGTTTATCCCTTAGCGATAAACCCACCTGTCGCCTAAACATATCTTGCCGAAGACGCACGGTTTAAGATCGTCTGATGCGACGAATCTGAATGAGTAGTAATGCCTAACGTCGGATGTCGCAATATCGCAATCCCCAACATTATCACGAATGATTTAAGTAGCTGTCATTGTGAAGATCTTGAGAAGTATGAAGCACCAATAGGCGTTTCACAAATGGCAAGATAGTAGGAGCGTTCGAACCGCGGGTTTCTTCAAAGTGCCGCATTTTTCTCTCTCTCTCTCTC